AGCTGTTTGAAGATTTTTTCACAAATATTACATTCAAAAGTTTTCATCTTCGTATAACTCCTTGAATTATTAATTAAATCTAAATTGTATCTGCTTCTTTTTCCAGATGTGTCATATTTATGGTCTTGTTTTCTTGAAAGATTTACTGGTCCTGGCATAACTTTTGAATTCACATTAATTCTTTTCTCGCATCTGTTAGATTGTTGGCCTCTCTCCTGAGCAAGCATTTTCTTGCAGATCAAGGAGATTTGCCCCTCACCCATTTCTTGGTTTTCTGGCTGGCTTTCTAAATTATCACATTTGGAAACTCTTCCCAACGTGGAATACAAGGTGCTTCCTCTAGTAGACCTTTCCATCATCAGACCCTGGTGTAATTCTTCCCATGAGATGTCATTCTTTAAGGTTGACTCATTGGTTTCTGTTTTACTCTCCAAGTCTAAAAGAAATCCAAAAATAAAAATGACCCATATTCACTGCACTTTAAAAAATAAATCACCACAATAAGAATGAGAGGAAAAAAATAATATAAACTAGGTACAGGAGGTTTGGATGGTCTTTCAATGTGATCCTGCCACCTAGAGAGCTGATATGAAAGCAAGTGAAGAAGTGGTCAGAGGAAAAAAGATACTGAAAGTATGTAAGGTGACTTTAAGAAATTGGGAGGAGCTCATCCATGTGAATTGCAAGAGGAAATAAACTAAGGAGAATAAGAGCAAATATCAAAAGATAAGAATAAGGAAGATAGGATTCTAAGACCATATCATCTTAAGCCCTTATTTCTATGACAGAATTTTCTTTACTTAAGAAAACAAATATTTTTAAAAAGTATTTATATCAAATACTTTGTAAACATCAAAATAAAACATTAAGTAATGCAAGAATGCAACAATTAAAAAAGAACGGCATCTTACTATCCGGGATGAGATTCCCTCCAGTCTCTGACAGTTTGGGAATGTATCCATTCAGACATTTCCCAACAAAATGTATATGTGAATGTATGTATTTATGTATATATGATCTTAAATATACATTTGTACAAAAAAGGGATCAGGGTATACATATAGTTCTGCATCTGTTTTGTTTTGTATATCTTACGGGCCTCTTTCTATATCTGTACATTTGAGATTAGCTCATTCTAACAACCTAATTGTGTTCTACTATATGGACATATCATAATTTCACTTTTCCCTATGGAAAAATATTTACTTTGTCTCCAACTTTTCACTATTACAAATTAAACCACAATCTATTATATATAATTATACACACATGCTTGTATA